TTATTAACAAAGAAAACAAAACAAATAATATACACTTATATAATCTACTTACACCTATCTCTGATAAACCTACTATCCCCTATCGCGAGCATTTCCAAACCCGATGAAGATGTTTGAATTTGGCATTCGCCACTCCCTACTTTTGAACGCGCACAAAGCCCTAGCTTCCGCTGACCGAGGTCACGCTGGACACAAAGTCCGTTCTGTGCACCTAACGGCTGTTTGCCTCGATCGCAGACGCATCTTTATCCGATGAGAATCGGCGTTGAACGTGCACTCAACCACTCTTCACCTAGAGCACGCACAAAGCATCGCCTCCCCCGTGACCGCAATCACCCAAGACCTTAAGTCCCGCTGGCTTCGCAAACTAGTACTCGAGCTCGCGGAAGCTGGCTCGCATAGCACCGTCGTGGCGCCCAAGTTTTGTGCACACCACGAGGGTTTCCCACTGTCTCCAGAACCCACCCACTGGCTCTGTACATTCTGTTATATAGGCGAGACCACGTGACCACACGTCACGCACCCCCTCGCTTGTAGATAACAGTGAAAAGGACCGGATGACTCCAAAACCTTGTTCTCCCGTTTCCGCCTTCTTCCTTTACGGAAAAACCCTTCTTTCTTGTGGCAGGCCTAAATCCTCTTACCAAATGCGTTCCCAAATAGATGCCATGAGGCACGGCTGGCTAATACGTTACAATATATTTACTTTCTTACATTATTCATACAATTTGACGTAATATTTCCCAATTCGTTTTCGGTGTAAGAGTTGAATAATCTGTATATGGAATCTAATGGGGACCCAAAAATGCCTCCAAAAACATTGCAATATTTGAAGAAATTAGTACTTACTACTGGTCAATACAAACAAAAAAAAGTCCTGAAAGGCGAGGGGGAAAACAGCCGTTTTTCAAAACCATTGAAATCGGGAAAACTTTTAGCCCAAAAAAAAATCCGTTAAAATCACTTATGTGGGAAAAAGGAAAGCCAAATGTCAATCCGCTACTACTTTAAAAATGCCAAGATTTAAAATATATACATAGCATCAACAAATTCTGATTTTGAATTGCTAACGGTGTTGCTTTAAGTAGATTGCAATCAGATAATAAAACTCACAAAAAATCAGATTAAAGAAAAATTACAAAATTATAGATTGGGACAAAAGGACTAAGAAACGTAAGTTTTCAACCAGAACTAATTTTATTTTTTTTAATTTTTACTGACAACGTTACTGCTGCGTATTGCCTTCCGATAGGAGCTCGTCCATCGCCGTATAACTTACATGATCGAGAGGACCTGGCTACGGGGTGGGGAAATATCAAAACAGTTAATATGCTACCTGTTCTCCTACGGAGCGAATAATAGAGAGAAATATGAAATGACAAACCGAGTCCGTGTTAACTACTAGTTAATTTGAAATACGTAAAGATAAAATTAGGCTAAAAAATAAAAAATCATCTATGTACCACGGGCGTTAACTGCGTTCTAATGATCTGGGCGACAAAAAGCCCTGGGCCAAGGTCTTCGGTGTTTTGTTCGCCGTTCGTTTATGACAGACACGTTTAAAAACGCCCTTGTGTATCAATAAATCTTCCTTGTTCTGATTTGATGCTTATTTTTTTCTTAAGTCCCTGAAATGAATTGCAAATTGCTGAGTGGTGCGTGTTTTGGGCGCAGGCGAGCTGGTGGCGCGGACAACGCGGCCTTCCTGGCGCCCCCCGGCGGCGACCTGTGGTTCGAGACGCGCTGCATGCCGGCGGGGGCGCGCGCGGGGCGGGCGCCAGGGCGCGGTGCGTCGGACGCCCCCCTCTCCGCTGCCGCCCGTCGACGAGGCGGAGGCGCTGCGCCTGCAGCAGCTGCACATCGACGCGAGGATGAGCCCCTCCCACGCTGCACTTTGCCCGTTTCATCTCAACACGTGCCTCGCCCCCCCACCCCCCGTGCCACATCATACGCCCCGTGCATCACTCGTCCTATTCCTCACACAACTGTTGCCATTGCTCCACACTCCTCGCACACCAGACACCAACTCCTGCCACTCGCATCTCACAGAAGAACATATACCCCCCGCACCCACCCACCACACCCCTCACCACACCTCACACCACCACTTCAAATATCGCCACTCCTCAAGCTGAATTGGCCTAGAGCAACAACTTTATTACTGCAGTATCTCTGACAGGAGCCCTGGGTTTTAGAGTTTGGTGCTATTTTCGTTAACAGCTAGCGTCGAATTCAGCCCCTATCTGTGAGAATTCTAGCGCCGCTGTTCTGATCGGTAGTTTTGTGTCGTGTTTCTCTTATCAATACCAGGAGGAGAATACCGGAACATTAATACTAACAAACAGTTTACCGGCTGTGCCCTATTTTTCGCTTACTCATCCCTTGTCTCCGTCCTTTTCGTTGCGCACTTACGTACAAACGAATACATAACATACTAAACACACACGCACACACACATTAACACACATACTAAACACACAACACACACACTACTGTTCACAACTGGGGACCATCGGAGCTTCCGGACGTATCGCGTCTCGGGACGGTGCCCAGGTGCTGATGTAATTGCCTTTCGCTGTAGTGTCGCTGCTACTTGCACGATTGCAGGCAATTACAAATGCTTCCATATAGGTTGACAAAAAAAGTTGAGTTCGCCAGAGCTAAGTTCCCTGGAGGAGCGTCGGTGGTGAGCGAGGTTTTCAAGTACAGAGACAAGTCCGATAAGTTATGAAAGTTTAATTGAAAAATAGAGCTGCGCAGAGCAGCGTGAGTTACACAGCAAAGTCTTTAGGCTGTCTGTCCGATATCAACGGCGAGAGGATCCTTATATGGGAAAACAGGAATTTACAAGGCCATTACGCCACCCCCGCCAGAACTCGGCATCCCTGACGCAAAACTGAAGCATTAACCGGTCAGAGACTTTTGCCCTTTTTTGAAAACTCACAAGATCCCAAAACATTCCTGTTTCCACGTCTGATGTGTTAGCCGTTGACGGCTGTTTGGGGTGCCCAGATCACCCCATGACCTCAGCAGGCGCCTTGCTCCAGACCACGACCCTAATTTTAAACGATTTTGACGGGTGATATTTCTTTCTACGTACAGTTTGCAAAGGAAAGAAAAGATTCATTGCTCTTCTTTTAAGCAATGCGAGCTTCATATGCTACGTAGGTTGCACCTTACCATTACACCCAGAGATAGGTCGAGCCTTCAGTCTATATAGTAGTAATCAGGTACATTGTCATTTCGCATATAAAGGCAGATTTGTTTTTAAAAAACAGTCCAAACAAAAAGTTTTCAAACCTGAGTACTTGAACAAAAGAAGAAGCCTCGATTTCATCAAGTAACAATACCAAACAGCTTGAGTTCTGTTTCAGCTAAGTGCCCTTTTATTGATCCAAAAATTAACGTTCTCATTTTCAAGTTTTTAGAGCATTTTATTATAATTTGGCGGTAGTTGTTTTAGGTCATCAAAATCGCCCCCTGCATATAATTAACTTTTTGTTGACTTCCGGTTAAAAAATCAAGAAAAATCAATCACTATACCAATTTCTTTTTATAGAATGAACGCAAATATGCATGTAAAAACGCTCTTTAGGATTGTTTATTGTGGCCTTAATTTAATGAAAAATAAATTTTGAAAGAGATGTGGTCACAGATTCGATCACTCGAGTGTTTATCATTTGATTAAAATTCCATTAAAATTTATAATATTTTTGAATAGTGTGAAACTGATCAAAATTTGCATTAATTACAACAAATTGGCGTTATTAAAGTTTTGCTGCAATATTCGAACTAATAACGTGAAGAATTGGCAAGTGTAGCATTGTCGTTGATGCATGCTTTGAAAAGAAACCCCTTGCTCCTCAGATCCGCCAGCTGGCGCAGGCCCAGGAGCAGGTGCCTTCTTCTATGTGCGCGAGATCCCGAACAAGCGCCGCCGCCCTACACGCCCCGGCCAGGCGCGTGCGCGCGGTGGCGGCCGCGGCTCGGCGCTGGGCAGCCGGCCGCAGGGGGCGGGGCCGGCGGAGGCGCGTCCGCCCCCCTGCCGCCGCCCCGCCGCTAGACCGGCGCCCCCGCGCCCCGACCAGGCCGCCGCGCTGCTGACGACGCGGCGCGCGGTGCTGGCGGCGCCGCGCCGCACCGGCGCGCCGCGCTCGACGACGTGACGCGCGCCCTCGGCTTCGACACGACCCGCGACTTCGAGAAGGTGAGACATCACGCCCCCCCCCCCCTCGCGCGCTCTGCGTGACTTTAGTAGAAAGTGCAGTTATCCATGAACGCACATTAACTGTCATGCACACTTGAACATTAGTATGCAAATCAAAGCTTTATAGCCATATGTGGAATGAATGAAGGAGCTTGACGGACAGTGTTTAGTTATTATGAATGTGATGTTGTGGACAGGAAACGGAGAACCTCTACAGTAAAATCTACCCTGATTATCTTATGCATTAAATTTAATGTAGCAAATAGTATTAACCATCTTTTTTAATGTACGTTTGCCACCAAGGTTCATGCATATTGAATACTTTAATCTTCATTCGTTTTAAAAATTGACATTTCTGAAATTTACCATCAAATGCCCATTACCATCGTGCAAATGTGCATAGATAAGCACTCCTACGCAGCGGATTTTTGCGCTCGAACTATATACGGCGTGTTAATACGATGGACTGGAATTTGTTCCTAAACTGTGGCGGAAGTATGTGCTGCTACACTATACGATTCCCATATGCAACATTGCTAGAAGCATTTCGTAGTCGAGAATAGTGAAATCAGAAGGGATATAACTTTATGCGGAATTTAGCAATTTGCTACACGCACAACACTTTCATCACAATTCGCAACATACGTCCATTTATCGAAGTCTTAGATGAATGTTAGTAAAACGCGTTTAAGTCTTTCAACGATACAGTCCCGTATTGTATAAACATGCATCACATCGGTGTTAATTTACCCTTATAGTGTAAATTTTATGAATTTGGTCTGTTGAATTATTCTTCGGCTGTTTCTCAAGCCTCATTATTGTCTGCGAATTGTCGGCCGTTTAAGAGGTGTTTTAAATGAAACTACTATATGGTTGTTTAGTATGTCGCACGTTGGAGAGAACTGGGTTTGTGCGGAATTTTTTCCAAACATTTCCCATCGAAATCGGTCAAGAACCTTTTGCCCGCAGTATGCCAGCATATCTTTTATAGTCCTGCCCTCTCACTGGTGCTATTAACACTAAGTCACTCTAGCTCTTATGCATCTTTTATCAACGGCGTTCATTGTTTTTCAATCACCAGGTCGCCTAAATTAACTTAAAGGCTCAAATATTTATAGCATTTTCAGAACTAGTTTTGCGTGGCATCCATAGTGCTTTACCTCTCCATTCCCGGGCATCGGAGAGTAGAGTGGCAATCTTTACAAAATTCCTCGATAAAAAATAGTTTAATTTCAAACAATAGATTTAAATCAAGTAGTGGCCCAAGTGGGTGGGTTAATGGGGCTCTTTCCAGAAATGACGAACAGCTTACAATATTCAAAAATATACTGCATTTTACTAAATTTCTAAGAAACGAATAATTTTAAATTAGAATAAATGAAAAACTGTTTACAACAACAACATCAAGTCTGCTTAGGCAAGAACGATTCAGACCCCCTCCCCCTAAAAATCTTTGTTCCTCTGGGAATAAGTATCTTCAACTGAAGATTATAAAGTTCACTCATGTTATGGTCAGAAAGGCAGGTAGTATGGACTGCTTGTCGCCAATGAAGATGTCAGTTAACCCCCGCAAAAAATACTGTTTTCCCAGAATTCTTTCAAGTGCCAGTTGATTCTTTAACAAGAGGAATCAATGCGCTATTGATCCTCTTTAGTACTTTGAAAACACTGTTCATAGTGCTAAAACCCTTGATAATTTATCCTCGAGATCGATGATGCTTAGGAAATGCAACCAACCGAAATGATGGACCGGAAAAAATTTGACTTTACGGAAGCGCGCACGTTTTCCGAATTACTACACGTAGGATCTATCATTCTTTAATCTGTATATTTTAACATGCCATCTTTTAATTATTTGTGAATTCACAGCCGTCCCACTTTCCTTGGGAGAACGGAATATATAAACATTGGATATTTAAAATTTTCACTTCCAATTCTTGTTTGTACACATTGCTTTTCGTAATGTATTCACGCTGACTGGCGTGTGAACCATACTTGCTAAAAACGTTTCCGTGCAGCCCGCAATGCAGCAAGGGGTTTGTGTCGGCAGCTGGCGCAGACGCGGCGCCCACGGCCGCCGCGGCGGCGCGCACGCGGCGGGCGTACGCGCCTTCCTGTTCGAGCTGGCGCGCGCGGCGGTGCGCGAGAGTGGCGGCGCGGGCGGGCGCGCCCTCGCGGGGCGGTGGGGCCGGCGAGCGCTGCCCGCGTGGCCGGTTGGCGCGGTGGCGCCGCGCACGCTGCGGCCCCCGGGCGGCGCCTCGCCGCGCGCCGGCCCGGCGCGCGCTCGCCCGCCCTCGAGTGGGGCGCGCGGCGACGCGGCGGAAAGACGGCGGCGGCGGGCGCGCGCGGGAGGCGCGGGCGGCGGCGGCGGGGCCGCGGCCGCGGCCGAGCGGCGGCGCCGGGCCGGCAGATGCAGCTGCCGCGGAGCGGCGGCGACGCAACCGCGTTGGACGAGCTTGCTGGACGCGCAGGCCCGCGACGAGGAGCCGCGTGGACGCGCTACGACAGGAGAAGGCCGCGCTCAAGAACGAGGTGACGGAGGCAGGTGCTGGCGCGCTGCTAGACGACACGGCGCACGCCGCTGGCAGCTGCGCGGCTGGATCGCGGCGCGCTCCGCCCGCCCGCGCTCGACAGGCCCTCGCGAAGGAAGGTAGGCGGCTGCAGTGCACCACTTCCGCTCCCGCCCCTATGTCGCCTGGC